GAACTACAGTCTCTGGAAGGATTCCACCCTTTATTCTAACTGACTTACTAGGAATAAGAATTCTGGTGCTACAAATAAAACCTTTGTGAAAGGAAGCTGGGAAGGGAGTAAGATGGTATTTGGAACACTGCAATTTCATGTAGTCAGTACATTTTTGAGCTGGTGAGCCTTATGCTTTCAGCAAACAAGCTTGCAGCAGAGGCTTAATTATCTTATTTTGCAAAAGGAGTTCTCAATTTTTAAATACAGTGTGCTTGGTAAAGGTGATAGATGAACATGTAAGTGGAAGGCTCCAGAGCAGTAAAATTCATCTTGGATGGTGGAGACGCTGCAGAAAGTAGGAAGAAATTTTAACAACATAGATGAATGCAGACAGAAGGAGGAAAGAAAATTTCTTGGACCCAATACATCAGTTATCTGATGACTGTTTAATGTCCTGAGCCTTTCAGAGCAAAGTGAGGTGCCTTGCTGTGGGATATCTGCACTACTGGTATGTTCACCCCCTTGCCCTGAGCACATGGAAGCCTGGTTACCATGCCCAGCACTGTTTCTCACTCAGTTTATTCATTTTCTGGTTTGGTGGAATTTTTTGGGATGCATTCTGCTGTGGGAGCTGCTTTCTGCATCACGTATTCTTTGCATCAAGTTTTATCCCCTGGAGTGTGAGGAGGGAGGGACTGCACACTCCCTTTCCTCTTCCTCTGTATCAGCTGTCACCTGCTTTTCCCCAATTTCTGCTACTTCCAGTTTGAAAATGACTTACCTGATTTCTTCTTGGCCATCTGTGTGATGTCAAACTGTCTGAATAACCCAAAGTCTGACATACAGCTCCAGAAGAACAGAGAGATAATAAGCTTTGACCTTCCTTCTTAAGACTCATCAGCACCTCTCACTTCCACCTCTTCAAGGAATACTTATTGCAAAGGACAATCTATTTAATTTATATCTGTAGGAGTCCATGTGACCATCAGGATCTGCCCTTGTGGATTTTGTTGCTTTTGAGGTCTACGGAGGTGTGAAGATGAAGCAGAGCAGCTGTTCATGTGAATTACAGGATGTGAGAGCAGACATTAAACCAGCACTGGTTATAAATACAAATTTATCTTCTTTGAATAAGATTCTTCAGCATAAAAAGTATTCTTCAGCACACTTTTTGTTTGTTTTCTTAGTTTTGGGTTTTCTTCAGTTTCAGGGGTTTCATTCTTTCAGTTATTAGTGTGGAGATAATTAAGGTAGGCATGGCTTTGAACAACAGATTAAAACATAATGTAGCATAAAACACAGCAAAGCAGTAATGGAAAAACATGTCAGATAAGTAAAAGGAAAGAAGTAATTCAAGTACCACATGTCAGAGTCCAGAGCCAGTCCCTGAGGAACTTTTTGTGCCTGACAGCTATTAGGTCCCAAGGCTGATTTGGTGCCTCTAGACAGTTCCTTATGTATTCAGGTCACACTTTGTTCTCTTCTTCTGTTACAGCTTCAACCAGCTATGGGATCCTTTTCAGAAGGAGTGGTTAATGCACTCTCCATATTGATATTACCAATTTTGAGGATAAGAGAGAGAAAAAATAATACTGAATGTGAAAACTGATAAAACCTACATGCTCAGCATGATGCCCAACAGCTCAGGAAAGGGGGTAAATAGCAGCTCTGTAAAGCTCCTGGGCTTTGCCAGAAATAAATCTCATTTGGAAGGGCAAGGAGAGGGACAGAACAGTATTTCTGCAGCTGATGTCCACCTTGCCCTCACTGCAGGGAAAATACAGATGGTGATGGTCCCAGCAGCTTCTGACCCCACCTAACTTGCTTTGAAGTTGACTTGGGCTTAGTAGGGACATGATACCAAGTGATGTAGAAGGGCAGGGAAAGGTGTCCATAAAGATATATTTCAATAAATGTAATTGAGAATTGTTTTACCTTTGCATTAAATTTTTAACCCTTAAGGCTTCTGTGCAAAATTATTTAAAAATAGTTTTATAATAAGCTTGTAATATACTGTCTTCATCTTTCCATTACTTTTTAATGAGGTACTGGAGGCCTTGGAGGCCTTCCATTTTACTGAGCATATTTTGTTTTAACTTCCACATAGAAATGCTGTCTAATAATCCTTTCAATATTATTTTGTCACGTGTGCTTTTCTAACGTAGAAATTTTGCAATATCCTGTAGAGTATTTAAAGCAGAAATCTTATCTCAAATTTGTTGTGCTTTTTTTTCTTCTTCATTTTAGTATAGGGTTGTCGTGGTGAAAGATGGATTTCTGTGGGATGTCTCACAAGGGTGATTTATTATTTAACATTAGTTAGTCTCAGTCCATCTTCTCCCTGGCCACTGTGTAGGGGATTCTTAGAGGATAATGATGCTGACTGTCTTGCCAGAAGGGTTTGGGACATGCAGAGAATACCAGGCACAAACCAGCAGCTTGTTCTCAGAGCCACTGGGCTTGCACTCACTTTGCAGCAAACACTGTTCCCTGGCATGAGGCAGAGGCAGAGCCCAAGGACTGGACGTTGGCTCACCTGGTTCTTCAGCTCACTGGTGAGGTCATTTGCTGAGGGGGCCCTGGGAAGGTTTCTGGACACACAGCTCCAGTTTCCAGGCTGCAAACAAAGCTGCCCAGAGGGTAGGGTAGGTGGAAGGAGGTGGTTTCCCTTAGAGCTGAGAAATCTGCCAGGAAGCCCTGAGGCTCTTCTTGCACCAGAGACTGACTCTGCTCTGCCACCAACGAGCTGAGAAGCTTGCTGAGTAGGAAAAGCACTTTGCTGCAGAGAGAAGACTCAGTCAAAAGAGAAGAAAGAAGCACTGTAGTTAGGACTCCAGGAATAATTCTTTTAAGTAAATAGAAGTACTTTCAAAACACCTACAGTATTCTCTTTCCCATCAGTGAAGAAGTGCAGTTGCTTTGCAGGGGACTAGCTTTCACCAGCTCCAGCTAATCAGGAAGCTGATATTTTGACAGCTTCCCATGAGCTTCCCAGAACAGATACCTATAAATCCACCACAGGGAAGAGGATATTTTATTTCTTCTTCTTAAGAGATAAAAGAGAGCTGGTGACTAATGCTGAAGTGAATTGTTAAGAGACTTATTTACTTAATTAAGCCTACTTGTTTGGTATGTGTCCCAATTAACTAATTTTTGTTGTGACCATATTGAAGCGACCTACACCTTTGTGACCTTTTCTTAGAATTATTATTGTATTCCTCTTTTGATTATATACTCAAAAAGTTCTGCTAAAAGATCTGTTGCATTAGTAGAGTCAGATGATTCCGTTGTTTTGAACTCGAGGATAGTAACAAAAAAAGAATCATTCTTAATTGAAATTCTTGGAGGTTATGGGTCAGTTACAGCCCTTAGGGGTTGTGTCTTCTTTTTAATTTCACAAAATGGCTATTTTTGAATAGGCAGAAGTTGTTTTCCAACTAGTAATACAGTGGAGCCATCTGGACACCTCTCTGTATAGGAGAGACTTTGAGGTGTGGCAGTTAAATTTGCAGTGGTAGTGGTGCTTCATCAGAAGATGTTGGTTTGTGCCAGGCTCCACGACAGCAACTTAGACTCAGTAAGATGTTTTCTACTCCACCCTTCAACTCCTCTCCTCCTCTTCACCTGAAAATCCAGCCAAGTAGTTTTCCTCCATGGTGGCACGTACACATGTGCTGGTGGAGCTGGTTCTGGGCAGCAGTCCCACAGGCAGTGGCTGTTTAGAGGAGGGTGCTCTGTGTGTTGCAGCTTTCATCCCAGTGGAAACAGAAGTTCTTTTAGCAGAAGCAAGTCTTAAGCCAACCCCCCTTGCCACTGGCTGCTGTATTTGGGAAGCTGCTGAGTACTCTTGCAGTTCTGTGCACCTCTTACAACAGTGGTGCCTCCTCCTCAGGCAACAGGACCCTTCAGAGAGGATTTCTTTACACAAGGCTTCCTGATAACCATTGCTCTTATTGGGCTAAGTAATGTCACTGCTACCCCAGTCTCCATCAGCTCTCTGCTCTCTTCTGTCCTGATCAGCACTGGCCATGTTCTGATCAGGAAAAGAAGTTCTTCTAACTTCTTGAACCCCTGTGTACTTCTACTCTTCCTCCTTCCCAATCCTTGTCTCTCTGCCTCCTCACAGAGTGCCTTCGTGTCTGTGTTTTAGGATGTGTGGGGTTTCATTTTTATGTGGCAGACTGTTCCTGAAACAGTTAAAAGCACATCTTTACCAGCTCACTCTGGGGCTCAGTTTTTCAGTGGATGGCCCTCTAAGCTGCTGGGGGTTTTGATGCCTGATGCCACCCACTCATTGGCGTGCTGCATCCTCTTGGCTTAATGTCTGTCTGAGCAACCTTCTGTTCTCCAGTGTAAGAGGACTCATGTAGCAAAAATTCCTGCAATCAGCAAAAAAGAAAAGGTTTGGACATCTTCCCTCAGTCATGAATAATCATC